TGTTTTGGCTAAGGATGTACTGCGAGCGTACCGCATGCTGAATTTTCCCTCTTACGATATAAAGCATTTCTTCTGTTGTGGAGCGCAGCCCTGGGAATACCCATACCCTCCGCTCCATACAATGCTGAGGAAATGGGTAGTTTTGATTTCCGCATCTATGGCCAAAGTACTGTGTCAGAGTGAATCTTTGTTTTGAGTTGTATTTACTGGCATAATGTTATTCTTAATAACTTCTAGTAAAACTGTAGGGGTTGGTCGCTTTGGGTTTTTTTTCCCCAAAAGTGTGTCGTACAAACAAGGGAGCGATGAGTACCCCTGTCGATTCCAGCTGCTGTAGGAGATGCTGGCAGGCAAGCGCCCACCTGGGCTATGGGGGGTCTGTGCGTGACACCGCGACCTACGCGTGGGTGATGCTGTGACCCACACGCACGGCCCCAGGCCGGGCCGGGTCTTGACTCCAAAATCTTTGGGCCTGCCTCCATGCCGTCGCCCCGAGCTGCGCTGGGTACGTGTGGGGTGAGTGGTGCCCCCCCGGTATTCATCGCCCCCTTCTCTCTGGCCTGTAGGCGCCTTTCTGGCCTCGGGTAGCGGCACAAAAGTCAGCAGAATTCTAGTACGGAAATTTGACAGTTGTTCTTAGGTGGTTCGGTCTTTGAGATCCTTATTTAATACCGCACACGTTTTAGTCTTTAATTTATTGCAGTTTGTAAATATTCTTGTGCTTACAGTTAGTGGTTTGAGCTTTAATTTATTGAATTAGTCTATTGGTATCTGTGTAGATACATAAGTACGCGTACTTAGTAAATCACAGTCACGAGACAAATATTTAAGAAATTGTAGCATTAAAATAAAGAGAAATATTCAGATTATATTCAGATTAAGAGGGGCATAAGAAGATTTATGGCTTTTGTTTTCTTTTTTCCTTCCCTTAAAACAGCTTCTTCATTGAACTTGAGCAACATTTATTAAATAGAGGTGGAGGCTGGTGCAACATCAGCATAGTGGAAACGTTTTAATGGTGTTTGTTTTCCTTGGGAATGCTTTTGCATCTCCGAGTACAGCCAAGAAGCCGATGGCTTCGTAGTGCTGGTGACATCGGAGGTGATGGTCTGGGAGATGCGGTGAGGCGATGAGAGGTTTCAGGGTCAATTTGCGCTGGGTGCTAATTGCTTTTGCCTTTGAACATGTGACCAAGGAAGTTGAAGGGATGGCCGGGTGCTGACGAAACGTGACGGTACACCGTTTTCAATAATTGTCTGTCTTTGTTCCTTCGTGCGCTTCAGGTAGACAGTAGTTACGTACAAATGCTACAAGAACTCGCATTTATTCTTTTTTATAAAGTACAATAAACCTACTTTTTGATTAAATAGGGCTTGTTCACTATGTAGCTATTTATTGGTACTGAAATTCAGCTCTTGACCCAAGGAAGTGAAATGCCAAGTGAAGTAACCCGAGGCAGATGGCAAAATTGCTTTGGTTCCATGTCTGACTTTTCTCCAAAAGGCTAGAAGTGTTGAATATTAAAATATTTGAGAATCTTTAATTCTAAGTCTTCACTGAAGATTTATTAGTTATGAAGCCAGCTGCTTTTGTCCTTTAAAACAACTTGCACAGCTGAAGCAGAAGTAGCAGCCTGAATGCTCAATATAAACAGCAATCCAGCAAGGATTCCGCTTTTCCTTGAGCAGCGCCCCTTGGATGTTGTTTCAGTGGCAGTAACGGGCACGCTGGAAGAAATGCGTGCCGTGCCGTGCTGGAGGCTGCGGCTGCTGCTGCAGTTGGCAGGTTGATTCAGAAAGGGTAAAAGTGCTACAACATGTTAATGGGTGAAAAGCGCTACGTTTATTCTAACAGCATGGCACAGTTTTTATCGCTGAGTTCTGTTTGCTGTCAATGTGTTTAAACGGCGCCGTCTCTGCAATGCCTGTGTGGGTGTGAAGCCCCATGCAAGGCTTCAGCAGATTTTCTACCTTATAAACTGAAGGAAAAACAATTCCTTATTCTTACAGAAAGCATCGACAAGAATTGTTTCATAAAATTGTGTTCTTACAAAAGAGAGATTAGAAAATTATTAGAAGCATAATGAAACTGAATAAACTGAAATGAATAAATAGGATTAATACAGGGGTGAAGAACTTTTATTCCCTATCTTAATCTAGAGGTGCTGTTGTGTTAGGGCGTAACTCTAGAGTTTATAAAACTCTAGAGTTTAAAGCAGTTAATTTATTCAGCGTGTTAACTTGCCACATGTATGGAGGGGCAGCAGTTACCCCGGGAAGAGACGACATTTTGTTGTGCAACCCTCAGTGCTTTCCCTGTGGGAAGGCGCGTTGAGCATGAGCAGATGTATGGGTTTCGTGGAAAGGCCGGGATCGTACCTGCGCTGAGCCCTGTCGTTGGCCGCTCTCTTGATCGCTCGCGGTGCCAGCAAGCGGATGCAGGCTTTGCGTGTCCCTAGGGTCACCTGTGTACTTAGTGAAGCGCGGTATGTAGCGTGTTTGTACTCCTAATGCATTATTGTACGTTCAGCTCCTGTAGGCCTGCGCTTCCCTGGAGCGTCGGCTCTCCCAGCTGGCAGGCGCGCGTCTGTGCCGGGGCTCTACCTGCCTGACTGATGGAGTTTTTCCAACTCATCTATACCCGAGTCAAAGTCTTACCTCGAGTTGCGTGCCGTTTAAAGGTGTAAAGCAAAAAACAAACCCACAAACCTGGGCGTAAGGTCTCTTTTAACAATGGATTGCACTTAGTGAACATGAAAAATGGTTGCTTTTAACTAATGTGTGCTTTTTTTTTTTTAATTTAGCACAGATGCACTGAAAGCTTCAAGTGAATGCCTCCTATAAAGTGTGTGTGTGTGTGTATATATATTCTACGTGTAAAATTTGTTGTTGATACTTAAAAAGGTGTTGTCTCCCCTTTTCGGTAGATGTTGCTTTAACTTAACAGCCTGATTTTAAAGGACAGTTCTTGGTTTTGAGCTAAATTAATGGCCGCCAACATGGCGATTAGGTAATACCCAAGCTACCAAATACCTTTCCCAAAAGCGGCATCTCCTGTTGTTGTCCGACTACACAGAGCTGGAGCGAGTACGCGACAGACTGGCCTGTAGCCCCTGTAAGTAACTATGCAATTTTGGCACTCCTCGGAGATGAACACGCTTTGTAGAACTTGTCGTGGTGCCCGCGTTCGGGATACCCACCGCACCTACTACCACAGTCAGTAACCTTTAAAATACAAATTGCACAGAGCATAGATCCATTTATAAGAATTTTCGTGTGTATTGCATTTGTCTTTTGGTTTTCAGTTTTTCCTTTTCTGCAGAAACTATGTTCCATTTAAAAGCCTTAAATAAAGATTTGTTTATATACTCCTTGGTGTTCATTTTTTCATGTCAGCGACTGGATTGTTAGAAGTTCTGGTACTTGGTTTTCGTACAGATTTTTAATTGTCAGCCAGCAGGCAGGCTTTCTCTGCCCGTGCTCAGCTCCTGAGCCGATTGCTTGCTTTGGGGAAATTTTAAACTCGAGGGGTCTCAGGTTCTTCCTGCTGTGAGTGACAGAACTGGAACCAAGTATCAGTGGCAGGATTAGTGGATCATATTGTACTCCTTTGAGTGGTAAACAATCCAAAGGTAGAAGATTGAAATGGATATGATGAAAACATTCAAAAAACAGGATCGTGTACACCCAGCCCTCGTTCCAGCTTGGCATAGCTGTATTTACTACATCGGACGCTGCACAGGATCTGGCCAGCTGCCCAAGGACCACAGCCCCTGGTAGGGCGTGGTGCGAGAGGCAGCAGGAGCTGTTCAGTAAAGGTGGGCTGTTTAAAAGGGCACCAGAAGATGTAACTGCATTCCTCCATTTTTCATTTACTGTGTACAGGGAAAGACTGATGCTTCCAAAATTACCTGTTCTGGTTACTTTTTGAAATTGCTTAAGAAAATTACTGGCAGATAAAGTTTTAAAACAAACACAGGAGATGGTACTAAGTGGCTTTTCTTGGTAAAGGTTGTGAGAATGATTTGCAGCTGGCCCGGCAAAAGGGGCCTGCTAATTCTGCAGGCAGTGTAGCCCAGGCAGGGGAAGGGGGCAGTTCCACCGTCACTGACGCCAGCCTCCGGAAGAGGATCCGGTTTGCATCTTGCTGAGCGGCGCCTGCCTGCCAGCCACGAGCACACGTGTTTGGTACGGCCAAAGCGTGGGGTAGCAGGGCTGTGGAAGGTATTGCAATAACGTAGAGCCATTGCTAAAACGATGCAGATTAAGAAAAATGCTGAACAGTATGTGGTTCTGTTCCGTGCCAAAGTCAGGAAAAAATGGACAACAGCAACGGTACAACGCTGTCGATGACCCTTTCCACATTGTTATCAACAGCTCTGGCTTAGGGGAACGCTGTTCTGGGCAACTCAAGTTATTTTTTGCCCAATGGCACAGATTATCATCAGGCTGCCAGCAACGTGGCCCTTCCTTCAGCACATACTTAGCCTTCATTTCCAACTTCTTGTCTTACAAGATGTCTGCGTTACTGGTCTTTATCTGAGCCCTGAGCCATCCGATCTGTCCAGGTAAGAAAGAGCATACGTAAAAATGCCATTCCTTATTTATAGTGGTGGCTTTATTATGAGAAATTAGAATTGAGCTAATCGCTTACAGTTGTGTGGCGCTTGCATGAAACATTTGCGGTACAATCCTAGACTTTTTTTGAACTCGAGCAAATTCTTCAGAATGTATTTGAACTGTAGAATTTTGATGTAGAAAGTAATCTCCATAGGCTGTACAGAATTTCTTTAGAGTAAAATACTTACGTAGAAAAATATGATAGTCTATTAGAATTAAAGTAAAACATTTGATTGTCGAGCCAGTATTTTACAAAATAGAGTAAACTTGATTGTAAATCTCAGACTTTGGTTTATAAAAACATAGATTGTTTTGCATATACAGTTCCCTGTTTGAAAATCCACATTTGCACAGGAAGATTTTGCCTTGCCAGTTCGTGTCATTCCTGACTTTATTTGAAAATGACAAGCGTCACAGTCATTAAAACCAAGATATGTAGAGTTGGTTTTACTGCAGCTGAAGCCTGTTCAAGCTCTTGGTAGAGGGGAGTTTTGGGACACGAAGCAGCAGCTCTTGATCTGGTGGAGACTTCTGAGAAAGAGAAGTCGTGTTTCAAAGCACTGAAGTTACCTTTATTGTCGGGTATTTCCACCGTCTTCAGCAGCGATGCAAATCCGGGTACAGTAGCCTAGGAGCAAACATGAAAGCTTTCTTACTTGGTTTGAACTATTGAGTGCAGCTGTGAAACAATCATTGTCTAATGTGCTTATTTATACTTCCAACGTATAGGAAAAAAGTGTTCTAAACGTAAGTTTGAGAACACAGAATGAGACAAGTAAAGTTTTCACCTTACAGCAATAAGACTAAACCCCCAAACCCTGAGATAGAAACAGTAATAGAATATTTATTTAGAAGGGGGGGCACTGCCCACTGTACAAGAGAGGGACTCCTGCAGTTACACTTCGGCATAGGCCCTTGGCTGGCAGCAGGCAGAGCCTACGCTGCGTAGATGCTCTCTAATAGCAGCTACTAACAGCCGCCCCAGAGAAGCCGTTTCGACCCAAGGACGTAACTGTCGCCGGTGGTGGTGTCAGCCCGTCACTGCCTGGGGCTACCTGGATCCCAGCCTCCACCTCCTCACCCTTGGAGGGCTCTGCGGTTTGTTTCAGGCACCTCAGTCCAGTGTCTGTTCTCCATACGCTCATCCCAGCTGGCTCCACCCTCCAGGTCAGATGAGTACTTATCTCTAGACATTCTGGGGACTTGAGATCTTACTGGATCAAAAAAAAATTCCTTTCTCCCAATTCATGTTTTAAGATACTATTTTCTTTTAAGTCTGCTGAGGAGTCTTTACAGCTCCTGTATATGACTTGAGCAAGTTCAGCTCATTTGTCCGT